GAAACCCAAGGTCGAGAAGGGAGAGTGTTGACATGTCATGGGGTTGGTAACCCATTTCATAAAACAATACGTGTACTAACTGTTGAATGAGAAACTAGTTTGTTCTGTAAACTTTCATCTAAAGTACAGTTAAGGAAAAAAATAAAAGGTCTGCCTTGAACATTATGCTCTTTTAAGAATTATCTATATGGGATAAAATTGACAAAGATTAGATAGGAACCTTAGGGAGCAGTGAGTTTGTTTATGTTAGTGAGGGAGGAACAACTCAGAAATGGAGGGTGAGAACAGTTACACAACTCGAACAATGTAATCAGTGTCACTAAGCTGTACATGTAGAAACTGTTGCGCATGTTTTGCTGTGTATATTCTCAACAACAACAAACCTAATAAAATTTAGAAAAAAACGAAAATCCTATGATCATTTTCTAGAGTAAGGACTTAAGTCCCAAACAATACCTAGAGATCTTCCTAGTTGTTTTCTAGCTCCACCACTTCACGGCAGTCTCTATCAGGCATTCATCAGCTACAACAAAGACTGATGAGCATAACTCATATATTTTTCTCTGTTCTTTTTTACTTCTTTTTTCTGGACATTTTAATAATTTTTTTATTTATCAACTTTTTGAGATACGATTTATAGACAATAAAACACACTAATTTAAAATGCAGAGTTCCATGAGTTTTGACAAATGTATACAGCTAGGTAACCATGACCGCAATTAAGACATAGGACTTTTTCATCACCTCAAAAGGTTCCCTTGTGCCTTTCAGGAGTCAATTCCCACTGCTACCGCCCCAGGCAGCTACTGATCTAATTTTTATCACTACAGATCAGTGATACTGCTGGTTCTAGAACTTCATATACGTGGATCATTCATTATAAACTTTTTTGTATGAGGCTTCTTTCACTTAGCATAATGTTTCTGAGATTCCATATTGTTGTGTGTGTTAGTAGTTTGTTTGCTTTTTTATTGCTGAGTAGTATTACATTGCATGGATATACAAGTTTGTTTATGCATTCGCCTGATGATGGGCACTTGACTTGTTTCAAATCTTTTACGTTTATGAATAAAGCTAAGAACACTTGTGTGCAGATCTTGTCGTCGTTGTTGTTACTTGCCATCGAGTCGGCTCCAGCTCATGGCAATCTTACATATAATGGAACAAAATGTTGCCTGGTCCTGTGCCATCTTCATAACTGTTGTGGCTATGGTTTCATGTTTTTTGGGTAATTATGTAGCAGTAGAATTGCTTGGTCAGTGGAGTTTTTCTTTTTTTTAAATTAAAACAACAAAAATACATCATTGTTTAACAGAGTTCAAATCACCTTGCTTCCATTTGGACATTTAACAGGAAGAGATGTCAAGACTTCTGTCATAAATCATAGAGTGGTCCACTACTAGAAAGGGCATGTGGAGTTCCCACAGGCAAGCAAAGTACAACCCCCTTGAGGCCAGGGCTTTCTCGGAAGCGACTTAGGACTTGCTCTAGGAGTGGCTGAAGGGGAAAGTAAGAGGTGACAGCTGGTCAGGCTGTGGGTGGGCAGCCAAGGCCTACTCCCAGGAAGCCTCCACATCTGAAAAGGTTCGTTAAGGAGTCATGCTCTGGGTCAGACCAGGCCCAAGGGTCTCCGGCTATCCCACAGCTTTGCCGGAAACCCCGATCTGCAACTCAGCTTTGAGTTGCTGAAAATAAGACTAGAGTGCAATGAAATGTCTGGCAAAAATTGATTTGCAAGATATCTTCAGCATTACATATAAAAAGTCAAATACAGAAATTCCTTTCAAGTTCCAGTTGTGCTTTCTCATTTGATTAGAATGATTAGTCATGACTTCGGCTAGATTAAATCAGCTGTAGTCAACTAAATGCATATCAAATGTACATAATTTTTTCAGTTTTATCCTGTCTTCTTTCCCTGCAACTAACTCTTCACATCCCAGAGGGAATCTTCTAATTCAACATCAAAGACTGATTAAACACTGATGTGGGAGTTTAAAAAAAATAACTGTGTAATTTTATTTTACATATACATGCTACATAAAAAATTAACAAATAAAAACTTCCTCTGGGTGCTGAAAGTTTGGAGTCGAATCTTCTAAAAGGCAAAGAGCATTGGGAAAATAATTAGCCATTTTAGAGTTCACCAATAAATAAGTCTCATTTTATGATCAAACTATGTGATCACCAATCATTCTAATGACTTACAAAATCCAAAAGTTGCATTTTTACTGTTCTAAGTCTTATTTTCCAACTTAACATTTAAGAAAGAATAACATTTAGAAAAAAATGAATTTAAAGAGAGGAAAAATAAGGGATATGTTTAAAATGCTTTACAAGGCATTTGGCCCATATGTTTTTTGAATCTTACAGCTTACTATGGAGACCTAAGTAGTGTTTCCTTATACCATGGAACAAAACGGTCAAAGGAGTAGATTTGGCCATCCCCAGTTTGACACATTGTCCACCATATTGAAATCTCTATGACAAAAGACAAAATGAGAAGTAAGGACACCAGCTTGAGTCTCCTGGTTGCAGCTGGAGCCTGTGGGGCAGGACTGGCTTAGAGGTAATTTGGCTGCTACAGTTCACAAAAATTAGCATACAGACACACAAACTAAGACTTTGCCATCTGAAAGCCCAAGTTACTTGACATGCTTGTCTGTTTCTCACAAGTCCATTGATCCTACCCATCTCCTCCAAATACACAGACTTTGGGGGAAATGGAAAGGGTGCTGAATCAGAAGGCAGCATGGGTGGAGTCCTTGAGCAAATCACTTAATGTCTTTGGCTTTTCACCTACGAAATGCAGTAAAAAGTACTTTTTCTATTTCAAGCCAGGAGGCTGGGCCCAGACTTCTTGATCCTAGACTACCCACTGAATATCCCATCCAGTGCTTCCCCTTTATACACAGCTGTGACCCTGCTCTCCACCACAGCACAAGCCATCCATTGCAGGTTCTACTCAATGCCCTAACTTTGATTTTCTATTCTTGGAAACAGAAGTCCATGGGACGTCTCTACATTTCCAAATTTTATGTTTGGAAAATAACAAATATTAGGTAAATACCTCAAAACGGCTTGAGATACAAATCCATGTGATATACACATCTGTTTGTCCATAACGTATGTTACAAGATGGCTTCCACAGGACCATTTTAAAAGCTGGCAAATGCCAACCTAAAGAGCTCAGGTGCTAGTCTCTTTTTAGCTGATGGAGGCAGTACAAGCTCCAACAGCTCTGTCAGGAAGGCCTTAAGTGCAAATTTGGACTGACATGACCAGCCAATCCAAGCTTCACTACCTTCATTCTCAGTTTGAGAAGAAAACTAAACTATTGCCAGAGAGGGCTGTTACACCATTATGCAGCCCTAAGGATGCACCTCACAGACTTCCAACTACAGGGAACACAACTGACCTGGGGCCCCAGCTGCCGAGATCTGAAATCCATCCTGCATTTTCTTGGGAGGCTGTTACGCCTCTCCATGGGCTGCTCCCCGTCACTGCCTGAGCACAGTGGGGATGCTAAGGCAGGCCTCTGATGGCAGACTTTGCTTGAGGACTTCCTGATCCTTTGCAAAATCTTCCCTTGACTGCATAGCAGACTAGGACACTTCTGCCTAACCTCCTCTCTCCTTCGCTTGGAGCCAGATTTGCATTGTGTTCTGATGGTTCTCCCAGCCTTTTCCAATTCCTTTCCTATTTCCTTTCATGCGGGCATTTCCTCTAGTAATATCCTTGCAATTTAACCCTATCTTGGTGTCTACTTCTCAGAGGTCCAGCTAAACATATCATTCATTCATCTACTCATTCATTCATTCAAGACATATTTATCATGTGCCTACAATGTCCCTGGCACTTTGCGTAAGCACTAGGGAGAATGGTGAACAAGACAGACCAGGGCCCTTTGTTCATGACTTTCACCTGGGTTGTCATAACTGCTTTCCTTTCTTCGGCTTTAACTGTGTGCTAGGCTCTCAGTTACGAGCATTTCGCATGCCTAGTCTCATTTGCTCTTCACAAAAACCCTGAAAGGAGCTACTATTGTTCTTATTTCAGATAAGAAAACTAAGACCTAGACAGATTAAGTTGCCAGGGGCTTCTCTGAAAGTGATTGCTGTTGTTAGCGGCCCCGACTCATGGTGACCCCATACACAGCAGAACGAAAGGCTGCTGAAATGCTGCCTGGACCTGCACCATCCCCATGATTCACTGGGGATCAGGCCATTGTGATCCATAGGTTTATAAGGCTGATTTTTGGAACTGGATCACCAGACCTTTGTTCCTAATCTGTCTTAGTGTGGAAGCTCCACTAAAACCTGTTCAGCATCACAGCAACACATAAGCCTCCACTGACAGATGGGTGGCGGCTACGCATGAGGGACATTGGCCAGAAATCAAACCAGGGTCTCAAGTACCAAAGGTGAGAATTCTACCACTCAACCACCAAATGCCAGGAAGTGACAGGACCAGACTTTTTAACTCCAAAACTCATGTTTTGAACCCTTAGGCTATCGCACATATCCCATATTTGGGTGGCACCTCTGAGCACTTTTTTTTTCCTGGCAATGATGAATCATTCGAATTGTTGATTTTCCAAAGACTGGCTTCACTTCTTCAGTTTAAATTTAAGAGGGCCAGGAAAAGCATTTACAGTAGAGGAAATATAAGTGCTTCAGAGCTCTCACAGTTCCTACATGTTGCCAAAGTCAAGTTAATTATAGTATCATTTAATCCAGGCAGAAGACGTCCTTCACCTGGTATGAGTTTCAAACTCATCTTTACTACTACAAAAAAGACATGAGAGGATAGACAAACCCCTTGGCTTCTCTGCTTTTCATGCCGATCATGACCCAGCTCTGGTAAACTGATGGCAGATGGTCACATACATCCCTGGCTTCTCTATGAGGTCCGCCAGGAACTGGCACACACGGAACCCCCTTAACACCAACCCATATGTGTCAGCTGAGAGCACCCTTCCGAATACAAATTCCAACTCATACCACTCTCTGCAAGGTTGGCTGTGGTGTCCTCTGCACTTGATTCAAGTTCTGTGAGGTTCAGGGAAGGAATGAGCTGAGACTCAGGCAGGTTCTCTGAAGTTGGTTCATCAAATTCCTGGTGGGAAGTAATTAACAATTCATGAGAAGCTGTTCAAAGGAAACAGCCCTACCACAAACGAAACAACTTTCTTCTTGGAAAACTATTTGGAAACAAAAGTCTACCTAATCGTCTCTCTTAAACATGATAACATTTTCAAATTAAAAGAAGGCTGTTTGGGACCAGGACTAGAGCAAAGTAAGCAAATAAACAGAGTGCAAAATTTAAGAGGGCACTCACTTTCAGGCTTGTGCAAGTGCAGGGCTGGCCCCTGAAAGATAATGCCTTCTTAAATTTGGCATCCAAGGCATCCTCTAACCTTATGCTTGGTGGCCCTGCTCAGTTTCCTCAACTCAAAATTAAAGGTATTGGCTTGGGTGACTTCCAAGTTCTCTTCTAGTTTTAAAAGTTCTGTGATAACTATGAATTGCAATTTCCTAAAAGAAAGGTCTAAGAGGCCACAAGATGAAAGAATTGATACTTAAAAAAAGAAAAAAAAAGTTAAACTGCTCCAATACATCAATAGGTATTGCAATAAATTATTTTGCCTCTTTTCTCCAGATTTGTGTGGTGTGTGTGTGTATGTGCGTGTTTGCAGTCTAGGGCTGGTGCTGAATCAACCTGTTTTCCTTGACAAATGGCTTTCATGGGGAACTACTCTCCAAGAGCATCTTCTTATTAAAAGCAAGATGGAAAGTTCAAACTAATCTTAAGTGAAAAAGTAAAATGAAGCCATGTCACACTGTGGTGAGGAATTTGTGAGAAAACAGCCATAAATTATTTTTAAGAAGTCTTTCTGTGCTGTATAATCGTTTTGTTGTTGTTGTTGTTAGGTTCTGTTGAGTTGGTTCTGACTCATAGCAACCCTACGCACAACAGAATGAAACACTGCCTGGTCCTGTGCTATCCTCACAATGATTGTTATGCTTGAGCCCATTGTTGCAGCCACTGTGTGAATCCACCTTGTTGAGGGTCCTCCTCTTTTTCACTGGCCATTTACTTTACCAAGCATGATATCCTTCTCCAGACACTGGTCCCTCCTGATAACATGTCTAAAGTACATGAGATAAAGTCTCATCCTCTCTTCCAAGGAATACTCTGGCTGTATTTCTTCCAAGACAGCTTGTTTGTTCTTCTAGCAGTTCATGGTATATTCAATATTCTTTGCCAACATCACAATTCAAAGGCATCAATTCTTCTTTAGTCCTCCTTATTCATTGTCTAGTTTTCACATGCATATGAGGCGACTGAAAATATCATGGCTTGGGTATAAATTGTTTAGGAGGAAAAACTGGTTACAAATTTCAAAGACTCACTGATGCCACACAGAGAGCTTTAAGAACAAAGAATAAAGACCGTATAAAATGCGTCTTCATGTGTATTTCAGAAATTAAGTATTTGGACCCTCAATTGACTTTGAGTTGCTGTGGTTCTCTTTGAAGATAATAGATAGAATTATTATGACTGCTTCTCTTAGAAACGGAAGGACTGATTTGATCTTGGACCCCATTACCATTTCACATATGGAGGCTCGAACCCCCATTACCATTTCACATACGGAGGTCTGGTGTACCACACACTTCTCACAGAACCCCAATTCTGGCACCAGCACAATTGTACATGCCACAGGATGAAAGAAAGACTGAGTCTGCCTTGTGCATTATGGAACTGAATTGGTTTTAAGCTAGCATCCTTTAAAGAAACAGTGCCAAACATGATTCCAATTCCACATTTGACTGTCCTTCAAGATTTCTAAGCCCAAATTCAGTCAAGCAGAAAATGCCTGCGGAAATAAAAGGCCCTGTCAGTTAGGGTCTGGAAAACAAAGCAAGCCATCTCTTAAATGTCTCAAAAAATTTTTATAACATGTTTCAGAGGTGACACAGCAAGCTCATTCTCTCCCCCAGCTCTGATTCTATCTCCTACAGCTGCTTCTGAAATACATAGTTGTTTGCTTCAGCTAAGCAAGAGAGAAGGAAGAAGGGAGAGGAAAAGGAGCCCCAATAAGCTTAGGAAGAAATGAAATCATAAATCAGGGTATGGGTAAAGGGGAAGAAAGCCCTCAGAAACAGGCATTCTCCTCTTCCTCTCAGCCTGCTTTATCATGTTTCTCTTGAACTGCTTCCATCTCATTAGTCCAATTTCTTTCTTATATTTTATTTCATCTTTTTCAGTTCAAAGACGTCTTGCCCTGAGATGTTGAAAACCCTCCAGTCCCTCTGCAAAGTGTTCTGTTTCCCGTTTTCCCCCTCCTTTGCTCTCGGAATACCGTTAGACCTGCTCACTCTTGGGCCTGTGAATATGATGAAACTTGCCTCTTCCCTGCCTGGCCTCCTCTCTTCAGCCTCCTCCTGGGGTGAACAAGAAAGCCTTCCCTCAGGTCACTCCTCCTTTTCTTCTGTCCCTATTAAACGCTTTTCTTCCTAGAGAGATAAGAAAGTTTGTTCTTTGGAGCTTTTCCAGGTATTCCTTCAACTAGGAGGTGAGCTGCTGCTTTCAGGAGCCCCATCTCTGTCCATTATTAATCAGTGTGGTCCATGGACCTGCAGCATCAGAATCACCAGGGAGCTTCTCAGAAAAGCTGCATCCTAGGCCCCTCCACAGACAAACTGAATCAGAATCTGCACTTTAACAAGATCCACAGGTGACTCTGGTGCCATACTGAAGTTTGAGAAGCACTACTGCAAATCATAAAAACTTGGAAGAGGGTCAAAGAAGGTTTTCCTGAGAAGGAGGTGGCATTTGAAAGAGAGAGAAAGTAAGATGCTAACAATGGGACGCACAGGGGGAAACAACAGACACCACTGCACAAAAGAGGGCAAGAAATGAGCGGGTAATGAGCAACCTCATCTGTGGGACTGAGCCAGCCAGGAAGAGGACATTATCAATAGGACATGAAGTGTCCATAAAGAGGACACTGAAGAGCCAATTATCTGCCTGGACTATTTGATGCCCCCATCAATATGCAAATTTAGGAAATGAGCTTCTGGGAAAGCCAGGGCCAAGATACAGGTGGTACTAAATCTTAGAAGAGCAAATAATGAGCCAAGGCCTCTGGCCAAGATAGCATCCGACACTTCCCCTCCTGATCCCTTTGCCCCTTGCTGATGGAAAGGGGGTGGAATTGGCAAGAACTGGGATGACTCGTGGAAGTTGTAACTTGAGAATTCATAAAATCATAAAATCTTTCTGAGTTGTGCCAAGAGCAGTATGTTTTATCTGGCTCCTGTGTTCTGTGGGATAGCATATGGCTAAGCAATTCTCCTGAGATTCTGCCTCACATTTGGTCTCAGTCTTATCTTAAGTTACTTAAGGTCCCCCAAAGGACCCTGATTTATAGGGGTGACAGGATGACAGGACCTCCTATGGTACAGTTATATTTAATCATAATTATATCATATACAAAAGAATACTAAAATGATTATTTTGAAGGATTAAAAAAGAAAACCAAAGAGTTAATTATCAAATACTAATATTTAAGATTATACTGGAAATTACATTTTTATTTGCCATATAACTTCAAAAATAAAGGATGTCATATAGGTTTCATAAAACAAAATACTACCATGTCCATCCTTCTTAATTTCCAATCTTAGGGAGAAAATCCCTTAGAATCAGGAGTCCCTGAGTATTCCAGAAAAAATGTCCCAATTTCTATGAGTTGATTGAACAAGTAGTTTACACATATTAACACAATTATTTGTCTGTTTGTTTTTACTGTGGTAAGTATATGTATAAAACAAAACATTTGCCATTTCAACATTTTTTGACATGTACAATTCAGTGACATTAATTACACTCATCATGTTGTCCAACCATCACCACTATCTGTTTCTAAATTTTCCATCACCCTTAACAGAAGGTCAGTGCCCCTGAGCAATAACTCCCTCTTCCCCTCCCTGCTACCCTGGTAACCACCAGTAAATGATGGTCACCGTACACTTCCCTACTCTAGATATTTTATATAAGTGGGATCTTACAATATTTGTTCTCTGTGACTGACTTATCTCTTATAATAATGCCAGACCGCTTGTCAGGATCTGTGAGAATTTGCAGTTCTCAGTCCTGTGCGGAAGAAAGCTAACTGACCTGGGGAAGAAGACATAATTTCACAAGTCATAATTTCAGGGCCCAGAAAGTGATTGGAAAACTGAAGAAAGGTACACAGTTTTCACAGGGGGGTTGGGTTCTTCCACACAGAGGTGGCATCAAGACCCTTCTCAGAGTAGGGATTGGACACAGCTCTGATCCCCAAGCCGTTACAGTCAGCAATTTCTCCACTCACCAAGGTTCCATGAGCAGGAAAGATCCCATCCCCCAGTTCCTGGGGCCTGGAACATATCCCACAGCTGGCGTCAGTTAATAGCGGTAGCAGATTGGTGGAAAAGGGGGTGGCATTGAGCGTGTACTGTCAGCACCCCCACATTGTCTGCTAAAGGGGTAAGCAAGCAAAGGGAGGTTCTTAAGGTCAGAGGCGACTGGGGCCCCAGTCTGGTCTAACTTTGGATTTTCAGAACTTTAAAACATTTACAGCCCCTAAATAATTAAGAAAGGCAAATTACTGGCAGCTTCCTTCTCTCAGAGGACGGCAGAAAACAAGTGTTCCTAGGCTAGGCCTTTTGGAGACTGAGCTCTGCTGGGGGTTCCTGAATGCCTCAGGGTTTGGAGCCTGAGCTACAGCTCAACTGTCATCCCCAGGCTTCTGGGGATTATCCCCACAGCCCAGGGGGCGTGGTTCTTCGTGCAAAAGGAGAGAGTCTCCTTGAGAAGCAGGGATCGCCAATGAATAAACAACCCAGTTTAGAGACAGTGAAAGTTCTCCATGAAAGTGAACCTATTCCAAGTTGCTTTCACCAGAAGCGCCATGAGGTTGGTGCTGATGTTTATCATCCAAAAAGGACCCTGAATCAAGACTACCTTGAGTATCAGAGCCTGCCTAGGGGCCTATGGAGATATTTTTAGCCATTAAAGAAAATGGTATTTGCTCTTCAGGGGTTTGGGAGGCAGAGGACATGAATCCGGGACCCATTTCACGTGCATCTACAACCCTATTAGTTATTGGATATCTATAATAGTTCTTCAAGGTCTGAATGGGGTTATTAACACAGTAGATCCCTAGGTGGCACAAAACGTTTGCTCTTGGCTACTAACCTAAAGGTTGGTGGTTTGAACCCACCCAGTGGCACAACGGAAGAAAGGCCTGGTCTGTTTCCATAGAGATTACAGCTAAGAAAACCCTATGGAGCAGTTCTACTCTGACACACACGGGATCACCACGAGATGGAACCGACTCGATGGCAATAGGTTTTGTTTTTTTAATTAAAACAACGCACGATGATATGGGTGGGAGATGGAAAAGAAAAAAGAAAAGAATAAAAAATAAGGTACTCAAAAAGAGAAAAATGGACTAAAAAGGTAAAGCAACAATAGCATGAATTCGAAATTAGAAATACACACATTTGTTCTACAAATTAACAATTTTAACCCATCAACGACTTATCCAGTGCTGATTAAGTTATCTTGTATACAGCAGTCACTCAGTATTTGTTGGATGAATCAACTGATAGAGCTTTAGGTCCAGCTACTTTGAATTAGGGTTGTTATTAACCACTCACCTACATTCTAGAATGAACCCCAGTAGATCCTCCCTGGAATTGGGCAAAGTTGGTCTGGCTGCTTGTTTTTCTTACCTTGTCCCTCCGTCCTACCTACCTGGCCCTATAAACCTGAAGAATCTGAAACAAGAAAAAGTTTTATGTAAAATTTAAAGAGGGTACTTACGTGGAGTACATCAACACTCTGCTGAAAGTTCCGAGATCGCAGCTCTCGCATTCGTTTGTTATTCTCTTCAAACTTTTCTTCTATAAGCTTTCTGCAAATTCAAAGTGAACGTAGAAAAATAATTCCAATTTTCTAAAACCGTATCTATATAATTCAGTTAAGTATGATCCCTATTTCAGCAGGTAGACTGGGTGTTGGAGAACTGTGCCAGTGGGTCCCTCCCATATCAAGCACACACAAGGGTGCTCTGGCTCCTTGTTCATCATTAGAACTCCTAAAACGTAGAAGTAGAAGACAGTATTGATTCCCGTGTGTTCTCTGACTCTGATGACAGGGGGTGTGTCCCTGATGCCTGACACACTACTTGACACTTATCAGTAACTCAGTAACTGTTTCTGGATGAACAAACCCATAAACAAGGAAAATACAGATACATAAACACCAAAAACCAAACCTGTTGCTGTTGAGTTGATTCCGACTCATAGCGACCCTATAGGATAGAGGAGAACTGCCCCATAGGGTTTCCAAGGAGCACCTGGTGGATTCGAACTGCTGACCTTTGGTTAGCAGCCGAACTCTTAACCACGCCGCCAGCATTTCCACAGAGATACACAGCAAAGAATTTATGGAAAAGAATATGGGAGTCACTGTGAATGGGAGGTTTGCTCCATACATATTTTATTTCCTGTACTACAAAAGAGATGGATTGACATGGTGGCTGCAACAATGGGCTCAAGCATAACAACGAATGTGAGCATGGCACAGAACCAGACAGTGTTTTGTTCTGTTGTACATAAGGTCACGATGAGTAGGAACTGATTGGAAGGCCCCTAACAATGACAACTACAATAGAGGAAATTAATAGACCTGCTACTAAACTGGAAGAAAGATGTGAGTTCTTGTGATAACTTGTGTGCTAATTTATACTTAGATTTTTTGAAAAGCTACTGAACATCTCAGTAGTTAAATTTTCTTGTCTGCAAATGGGTACGTTATAACCCTTCTGGCAATGGAACCACTTTCGAGATTAAAACACATGATCCCTCTCAAATTCTAGAAACAACAATCAAAAACAATGTATCCCAATGCATTCATTCATAAAATCAAGGCCAAATTTTATTTTAAACCCATTGCCTTTTAATAAGAAAAACATTAACGTGTCGTTTAGAAGATCTAGGACTTTCTTTTGCATATAAAAAAGAAAACAGTTTTAATCTGAACAATAATTTGTAATGTGCATGTAAATTATTAACTTGTCTTTTTAATCTGTTCCTATCAGAATTTTAATTTTTTTTTTTTTTTTTTTTTTTACCTTCAACCAATGACTTGAATCATGGCATCCTGGAAACATTGCCATTTCTGAAGTGTTAGAAACAGATTTGGAAATTGAACAAAATAGAGCTTGTGAGTTGATACAATGGCACAGGCAATGTATGTGTCTTTTCTCAGTAAAATCCACACTCAGTAGTTTGCTGAAACCCACTCATATTGGCTCCCAAGAGTGGGTGTGTGCCTCTCTTTCCAAATGCACATTCAATGATATCATATTGGTAGATTGAAACTGGCTATGGTAGGAGAATTTACACCACAGAAATCAGCAAACAAATCAACCTCCTAGCCCCAGCTCCGAGCTGGTTGTTAAACATTTACCAATATACCACTGCCTGCAGTGCACTTTCCTGGAAATCTTTTCCCACATTTATTTAAGAAAGCACGTGCTAAGGGAAAATAGTCTCACAGATTCTTACTTGGTTCAACATGACATTCTAAGTGCAAGGCCACCTCTAAATCATTCTTCAGATACGTTAACAAGGTCACAAAATGAACAGATTTGAGTTTCAGGTCTTTTCTGTCTCTTTAGTTCTTTGTTGGGGCTTCTAAGCTACCAAAAAGTTGGCAGGGGAAAGAAGAAGAAGAAAAATTAGGAAATTGGATAACATACCAACTGAAAACAGTCTGAGAAACTTAGAGTCTGAGGCTCTTTAAAATTCCACTTCTTCATGTAAATTCTCTAATTACCAGAGGTATCTCCCACCAGCAGCACTGCCCTCAGCATAGACTTTTCAGAAGGCTCCACTTGACAGAACAGAGCACTGTTTCCAGCCTCCTTGCTAAAGCCAACCATCTCCCGCCAGCACACTCTCCTTCCTACAGATCAGGTGGGCCTCCTAGGGAGGGGGCTGCATGCTGAGAGGGGAAGGTAGCACCCCAGGCAACGACAGTGGAGTAGTGAAGCCTCCTTTTCACCCTCTTTCCGGGTATGCACAGAAGGAGTCAGCAACAATAAGGTGCCATCTGGAGACAGACTTTAATTCCATCCCTAGTAACCTCCCTGATCGTCCATCTTTTCCCTTCACATCCAGCAACCACCTATGACTCAATAACCTTGTATTGAGAGAATGAGTGAATAAATAAATGAATAAACAAGTAAATATATAATTATGCTCATTTTGATTTCTTGAATTGGTGCTTTTCTTCGGTAAATTCGTTTTGAGCCCTGGGAAGTAGCCTAGGGGTCAGGGTGCCCAAAGAAAAGGCAGCTTACTTCAGCTTCGTGGCCTTCTCATCAGCTGCCTGGAGCTTCCTCAGCCTCATCCTTTCCCTCGGTGTCATCTTCTGCACTTCAGACAGCGCCCGCAGAGTCTGGAGGTGGATCTTTTTTTTCCTATAAATAATAAAGATTCTCCACATGCAACCCATCCCAAACACGCTCAGAGAAATTAAGCAAATATTTTACAGAGGTATCATTACACGACCGAGAGAGAAAAAACATCTCGAGACAGGCCAGACAAAAACTAATAAACTCTGGGTAGGTAATGAGCCAACCAGGACTCTAGTTAATCGGTAATATTTTTCAAATGAGATTTTCGTTCAAAAGCAAATTATGTACTTTCCAAATTCTTCTCATTTCATTGCCTATGACTGGTTTTCATAATGTAAGACAAATGAAGAGCTTGGCAATTAATGAGTAAATCAATGGCAGAGTAATTCAACCACGGCGATGAGGACACAGCATTTGGAGCCAGACGGGCAGGGTCTGCATCCTATCTCCACCACGCTTTCACTCTGTAGCCTTGGGTAAGTTACTAAACCTCTCTGAGCCTCAGTTTTCTCATGCATAAATAATGGGCTATCATGAGTATCATATGAGATAACCCATGTACAGTGTCTGGCACATAAAAAGCATCCAAAATAGTAGTATTATTATAGCTAAATTTTACTGAATATGTTTTACATCCTTAACTTTATACAGTAGCTATTTTTATGGCAGCATGGAGTGGAGGTTAATTGCACAGGTTAGTAACAATCTCTGGGTCAAATCCTAGCTCTAAAGTTACAAGCTACAGGTCTTTGGACAAGTTACTTAACATCTCTATGATCATGAAGGAAATAAAAAAAAAAAAAAAGTATGTACTTCATAGGTTGTTGTGAGTGTAAATGAGTTAATTTGGGTAAGGTGCTTATAACAGAGTCAGGCAGATGGTCATTATCCATAATAATGGTAGCCAATATTATTATTTAAAAACTTCTTTTCTTCAGTTAAAGGAATGTACCTACATTAATCATGCATTGAAAGGTTGCCACCACACTCTTAATAACTTTTACTTCTGTTCCAGACTTGGTTAGGTCCTAATACTGCAGAATGCCTTTCATAATCAACTGTCTCCTTAAGGAACGCTGAGAAAATTGTAACGACCATTGTAGCTGCTATCATCTCTCTGGAATACTGTCCAGACCAGAGCCTCCAGAGGCTGTACAATTTTCAGGAATATAGATCCTTTATTTTGTAACAAAGGTGCCCTGGTGGCACAGTGGTTAAAGCACCCAACTGCTAACCAAAAGGTTGGCAGTTCAAACCCGCCAGCCATCCCACAGGAGAAAGGTGTGGCAGTCTACTTCTATAAAGATTTACAGCCTTGTAGCTGTGAGTCAGAGTCAATTTGATGGCAGTGGGGCGGGACACTTTGTAAGAATAAATAGATCTCCTTAAAGACAAAGTCTTAGATCTTGAAAATAACAAAGTGACTATTTGAAACCAATATTTCATAATATGAAATGCCCTCCGAACAATTGGATTCTAGCACACTGCTGACTGTAAACAGTGTCGGGCAAACTGGTTCACAACTATTGTATAAAATGATAGCTAGAATTCATCCTATATTTTTAAAATAAGATATCCTGGAGCCCTGGTAGTGCAGAGGTTAAGCTTCCAGCTGCTAACCAAAAGGTCGGAAGTTTGAATCCACCAGGCGCTCCTTGGAAACCCTATGGGGCAGTTCTACTCTGTCCTACCAGGTCTCTATGAGTCAGAATCAACTCGACAACAATGGTTTTGGTTTTTTGGTTTTTATATTCTCACATCTCAAGTTAATGGGATGAAATAAGTAATTTCAGGCTTTCTTCAAATTATAGGGTAGCAACTAAGAAACCTAGGTTATTAGGAGCACGCCTAAAAATTTACCCCATCAAGGGGCAGTGTATTTTGACAGGACAGCATGCATTAAACAAAGACAGAAGATCTATGATGGTTCAGGTCCTGCCTAACTGAGTTCAGACCTGAAAGCCTGTGCCTTGGGCTTGTTTAATATTAATCCCGGATTGCCTACAAGTGTCAGGACTCTGTACCTCCCGGGTCTCCCACCTGGGAGGCTGTGGGTCCATTCAGAACTTCCCAGGTCCAATCTCCAGGTTATCAAAATTTGAAGACCAGCTTTATAGTAGGCCTGGGCTCCAGGGGGTCCTCAAACCCCAGCATTTTCCTGTCACCTCAGGTCTGACTTCCACCAAACTGTGGGGCCATCAAAGTGACAGGCAGGTCCAGGCTGCATGGAGAAGGTTTGCACAGGGGCACTGGCCTAACTTGTGGAACCTTCTGCAAAAGTGTGCTTAGGGATGGTATGAAATATTATATCATAGCCAGGAAAAAAAATCTGACTTCTGGGAGTAAGGGTCCATTGTTTCTAACAAAGCAATCACTGTGCAAAGTGACAGTGGTGATATCATAGGGCATGGAGAGGAGAGAAACACTGAAATCTATCTTCTTAACCACCTGAATAAAGGATTTGGGAGGATGTAAAAAGAGAACCACTAAGAATCATCTTCCCATTTTATTGCTTCATGTAATCCCTTTCCTCCAGAAGCATGAATATACTGATTCTACGAGTTTTTTAAAAATATTGTAGCAAGTGAAAAGGTCATGAGGAGAGTAAGATCAGTGTCACAGTGCCATGACTCAAATATAGACCACAGCAAAGAGTCAACAGTCCCACAACTCTGGGACTGCCTGGGTGGTAGCCACTGATCCAGGAAGGAAAACCAACAACCATTATTGCAGTAAGTAAGCTGAAAGAAACAGGCATTTTCCCTGATTTGCATGTAATAACTAGTCTAATTTGCATGTAATAACTAGTCTAAAAAGAGACACGAGTATTTTATTTGCAAGGTGGAAAACCCACATAGTCAAGTGGCAGTATTACGTATCGCAGAACGTGACACAGGCCAGGGCTTTCCCTCACGACTATTCCAGGCACCCAGAAGGGACTGAATAGAGGCCGTGCATCTATGAGGCTCAGACACCCTTGGTTTGTCCAAATTTGTGAAGACAAGGGTTGTGACATCCATTTCTAACACTGATCCCAGTGAAATGGTTTTCATGGTATAAATTCATAAGGGCATCCAAAAGCCTGCCAATGTGTTGGCCTTTACTGTTAAGCCAGAAATCTTCCCAGGAGACAAACTTCTGACTGGTTTCCCCAGTTTGAATGTGAAGATAGAAAGCAAACCTGGTGCAGCTGAGAAACCATTGGACTGGGTGTTAGAAGAGCACATTTGTGCTATTTGGCCTTGAAGATCAGCCTGTTGAGGGCTCCTGTTCTCACCCTACTGCCTTGCTCAGCTCTTGGGAGGCAACTGCCATTCTCATTGGGTCTCTGTAAGATTAAATAGAGCTCCTTCAGCAAAATTATAGGTTTGGTCTTTATAAGTGATGTCCCCTTGCAGTTGTGCAGTGAGCAGCCTGGACAGCTGTACATGGCTGTTCTGAAGTGACCTAACTACTGTGTTACAGTATTCTGGGCTCTTGCAAGTTACAGCAGAAAAATTTTGAATAAGGTAGGAAAAAAAGCATTATGCCAGGAGATGATTATGGTTCTTCATGACATACACATTCTCTAGTTCTTATGTGAAAGGATGTCTATCTCAAAAAGTAAATTTTGGCTTATTTTCAATTGTCCCAGAACTCTACAATATTCTCTTTTGAAGAGATAGTCTGCCAGGTCCTGTTAAACATGTGAAAGCCACTTACGCTTAATATGGAAGGCTCATTAGCATAAATATCACTCAGTGTCTGAGATATTAATTTCTCTATATACTTACAAGACAACTGCAGAGCTACCCTGCAGATCTGTAAGCTGTGCATTGGTTTAAACTTTTATGACTTCCATTTGCTACCACCTGGGGCAAAGGGCTTTGGAACGCCAAGTTACTGAAGAGCCTTAATTTCTTGGCAAAGTTTAAGTGAATCCTAGGATACTTCATGCAGTCAGCTTAGCACTAATAGATTTTTAAAGACAAATGCATTTAACGTTTACACTCGATGGGTTTTTTAAAAACAAAGCAATTACTTACACGACATTAATTATATGAGCAGCCTCCTTCTGACAATTCAGATTCTTGTTTTCCAGAGTCATTTCCGAATATCTACACATCAGGTGCTGAAAAATAGAGCAACAACCCTGATAAACCTTAAGGGCTCCTCTTCAGGGATGAAAGGGCATAAAACTACCAGGTGCCTTTTCTGATTTACGATATTATTGACCATGGCAGGGGAACCTGAAAACCTAGCACTGGGGAACTATTTTTCCTTCTATAAAGGGTTACATAAATTACATGGTAGCTTATGTAACAAGATCCTGCTGGGTCAGGCTCCCGCCTACTCTCCAACTTCATCTTGTACTGCCTGCTCTCTCACTCCCTATTACTCAGCCATGGGGCAGGCCTTCTCCCAGCTCCAAGAATACATAAACTCTTTCCCGTAGTGGACAATGTCTAGGCTTCTAGGGCCAGGACTAGGGTGAGGCAAGTGAGCCACTGACCTCAGGAACAAAATTTAAGGGGTCACTAAAAAAACTCAATAACCAGGATAAGTAATATTTTAATACAATATTACAAAAGATCAAAATTAATGTCAAAAATCTATGATGAACAAAAAAATCAAAAGTTTAAATACAGACAGGATCCAACCCTGCACTTGCATGACTCTGCATCACTTGCCACATCCTAATCTTGGCCCTGTCTGATCGTGGCTTTATTTAAACTTTTGGTATTTTGTTCATCATGGATTTTTTGCATTACTTTTTTTTTTTTTTAAATATTGCATTAAAAATATTATTTATCTTGATTACTGAGGGTTTGTTTTGTTTTTGTTTTGTTTTTTTGGATCCTCTTAATATTTTGTTTCCAGGGCAAGTGACTCACTTGTTTCACCCTACTCTCAGCAGCTCCCCTTGGATCCCTTTTGATGGCTTGTGTATGCACATTGTCTCTTCAGTGTATTTTTGATCCCAACAGCCAGCCCCATGCCTCTTTTTCAGAGGCTTGACCTCGGCTACTGGTGCCCACCTTGCCTGCATATATAGAGGGCTAGAAGTACCGGGGAACTTAGGTCTCCCTCTCTTGTTCTGTTCCGCTTCCCCCACTTCCTCACCAGTTTCCCCTGGGAGAACACGTTTGCATAAGAACCCTCCTCTCTTTGTCTGCCTCCAGGAAACATGATCTAATTTAGGTTCTTTGCATGAGGGGGCTCCTTCTCATCTGTCTTAATGCTATTTAAATGTCACCTACCCCCTAGTGGTGCAGTGGTTAAGAGCTTGGCTGCTAAACAAAAGGTGGGCAGTTTAATCCACCAGCTGCTCCTTGGAAACCCTATGGGGCAATTCTACCCTGTCCTATAGGGTTGCTCTGAGTTGGAACTGACTTGACAGCCATGAGTTTGGTTTTCGGGTTTACTCCTTCTTTGACCACCAAGAACTCTCCCCTTCCCTTATTTTTACAGGATCCTGTTTACTTTCTTCCTAGTGCTTGTGATAATTTGTATTTATTTATTTATTTTAGTTATTGGGCAAGTCCCTAGGTGGCGCAAATGGTTAAGCACTCAACTAATGGAAAGGTTATTGAGCTCTCCCACTAGCATTCAAGTGCACAGGGACAGATTACCCAACAAGCAAGGTAAACAGGTGCTTGGGGCATCAACAAAACCGGGGCACCAGTTGTCCAAAGCAAAGATCCATAGATGCCAAGCAGACAGGACACAAGGAAAAGCGAGCCCCATAGTGGAAGGGAACGGACGGACAGGACACTAAATGAAACCGATACCAGCTTCAGGGCGTGAGAAGGTGACTGCCAAAGTTCATGCAGGTCATGAGGGCGCCCAGGTGCAAGGCTGTTTACAGTAATTTGTGTAATATTTGTTTTCTGATCATTAAATTTCCTTTTATGACATTGTTTCATCTGTTCATTTACAATTGTAGCATTTATTACAAAACAAGTATCAAAACTGAAGTATGAGCTGTTTAAAGCAAAATCGGTGGAAGTCAATTTTTCATTGTGGAAGATCAACAGAATTTTACACTGATTGTTGAAACAACTAAGTTCACTGACTCACTTTCTTTCTTGTAGAATATGTGGAATATTCTTTTTGTAGAAAATGTGATATATAGTAAAAGTCTCAGTACCCTGTATCCACTAAAAATTTTATAATCCAGTTCATCTCATTCCGCTAAAATGGCATACGCCACTTTTGCATTCAATTGCTAATATTATAGTCACATTTAAAAAGAAGTTATATAATGGATAGTTAAGACACACAAACACACATGTATGTAAAAACCAAACTCATTGCCGTCGAGTCAATTCCAACTCATAGCGACCCTATAGGACAGAGTAGAACTGCCCCATAGGGTTTCCAAGGAGCACCTGGTGGATTCAAACTGCTGAACTTTTGGTTAGCAGCCAAATGCTTAACCACTGCATCACCAGAGCTGCATATATATATATATGTATGAGAGAGACAGAGACACATATATACATAACTCACATATCCCATTCGAGTGGGTGAGTAAGCAGGGAAGGAAGCACCACAGATTATCAGCATTTGGGGCCCTCACATGCCTTAATCCAGCCCTGCAAGTGCAGAAAGCATATCAGGTCCTTTCATTTTGATGCCCTTGCCTGGCACTGCCACCACTGTCGTATTGCGGTGGCTTGCATGTTGCTGTGATGCTGGAAGCTATGTTACCAGTATTTCAAAAACCAGCAGAATCACCCATGGTGGGCAGGTTTCAGTGGAGCTTCCAGACTAAGACAGACTAGGAGGAAGGACCCGGCAAGCTACTTCTAAAAAAAATTGGCCAGTGAAAACCTTATGAATACCAGTGGACTATTGTCTGATACAGCACGGGAAGATGAGCCCCTCAGGTTGGAAGGCACTCACAATACACAGTGGCTGCAACAATGGGCTCAAACACAGCAACGATTGTGAGGATGGCACAGGACCAGGCAGTGTTTTGTTCTCTTGTACACGGGGTCGCTTTGAGTCAGAACTGACTCAACGGCACCTAACAACAACAAAAAGCCTGGCGCTGAACTGATACACGCACAGCAAGTCATCATCCGGGTTTTCCTTGGATTTAGGGCTTGACCTGCTAACGAAAAGGCATGTGAATTTTTTAAGTTGAACGAATGCCTTGTGGTTCCTCTTGAAGCTATTCATAAAATTAGAGGAAACTTGCCTGAGGGATTTGTGTTGTAAAAAGCTAAGAAGTTAAAAAAACAAAAACAAAACTTCCCAAGAGGGGACTGTTTGCTTCTTTCTTGCCATCTGAGGAAGATTCTCTGTATCAAATTTTCTAATCTACAGGAAAACAAAATAAACTCACCTATTCAATAAAAAGTATTATTGAGATATATAATGAGTAGAATAACACACGCTCAGGGGAAATCCCAGATTTTAGTAGTATTAGTAATAGCACATTCTTGGCCTAGCAGTGATACATTTATGAAGAGTTGAGACAGCATCTGTAAACAAGAGCTCTAAGGGGAGCTGTTGAGTTTAGGCACAAAATCACAACTCTGACTCTCCCACTTACATCTAAGTGGAGCCAGGGAACTGGAGCTCATACACCTTCTTTTGCAAAGAGGCTGTCGTAACTAACGTTTCCCTCAGCTTCTTTTCAATCTTGTTTCTCCTTTCTGACTAATTCTTAGTGCGTCTCATTCCGACAGCATATCTTCAAGTTATAGAATGCGTATGTAAATGCTAATACGTATTTCCTGATATCCTTTCATTTTACCTACCTGTAGCTGTTCATCAATGTAAGGGACTTTTAAAATCTCTATAGCCGATGGTCTCAATGAAGGACTCTTGTTCAACATGCTGTAAAGTTTAAAAAGAAAATTATTTTTCAAATGAGCTAAAGTAAAAGTACAATCTTAAACTGTTTTGGTCACCACATAGCTCTTTTCCATACCTTTCCATGATGGCGTTTAGTTCCCTTGGATATCTCTCAGGGAGAGAAGGCGTGCTGCCTTCAACAATTTTCAAAACAATGGACAAGAAATTGGAGCCAGCAAACGCATGATTCATGCAACACATCTCATATAAAATGCACGCCAGTGACCTGAAGACAAAGTCAGAGAATTTAAATAAGAACAAAAATCCCATTTGAAAGGTGTTCAGTCTACAAAACCTCAGATGTTAGGGCATTGCCTGTGAGGGAGTACCATACACTTCAGCTGTTTGCTTAAAAACTTAGTTTCATACTGTTCTTTTCCAGCGAGAAACATGTTTACTAAAAAAAAAAAAAAAAAAGTGAAAGAAGCAAGCGCAAAGGTAAGTCTGAATGACCACTTTTTGTCAAAGGAGAGCAAACCAACAAACCAACAGTAGCAATATGTCTGCACATAGTAGGTACTTAATAAATATCTGATCAATGAAGGAAGGAATTTTTGAATTAACTTCTATGGGAGTAAAACAGAAGGCAACTAAATTGCGTTATCCTAAGGCAGCTTTGTTAATAAATGCTGAATAAAATTTTAATTCATCAGCCTAACCTTGCCTCTAATGTGTACCCAGGCATTTTGAAAAGGAAACTGGCATTCTCTATTAGTTTTCTGAATACAATCCATTTGCAAGTAGGGTAGAAGAGAAGCTACTTGCAGCTCACATTAAAATGTACAATTTTCCTTTGGGTTATGAAACAGAATATTAACATTCTAGATCCGTGCAACACTGATTTGCATTAACCACACAAATCAGTAACCTCTAAACCAGCAGGAAAATCTTTTACTAACTCTACATCATAAGGAAAACTAAGAGGAAATTCTTGCCTGACCTTAGTAGTAAGAAATAACTGTACTTCTCCCAAATAGTGTATTTATTTTTATCATATGGGCATTACGAATTAAGTGAGTAGGTTTCTCTTTTCATGTTAGTTGCTTGAAAGCTTAGAAGTTTGTAACTAACTTTGTGTAAGTTATGTTTTTTGTAACTTTTAACACTGCCTTCAATTCTTTCGGGTACCAGGAGGGGTGTATACATAAATAAATACATATATGAATACTATCCTTTTAACCTTTTTGTGGGTTTTCATGAAATTTTTTACTTGTAAGAGAACTCTGGATATATGCATGGAGAATATTTCTGACCCAATAAATAATAATAACACTAAAAAATTCCAACTGACTGGTACTTGACATTTTATAAAGCACTTGCACATATGTCTCAACAAAGCCTTATAACTATCCAGTGATACAGAGCCGATGTTATATTTTTCCCACGTTATTGATGAGGAAACTGGCTCAGAGAAGTTAAGTGACTTGGCCTACATCACACAGGGAGAATTTACTCTTGAATGAAGGCATTTTTTTTTCCCCAAATCCTGGACTATGCCCATTATATCATATCAGAAAGAAGGGGGATATTAGGAGAAATTAGATGATATTGACTAGAATACCAAGATCAATGTAAACATTATAACTTAAAAAATTATTTGAGGCTCAATAAATTGCATCCATCTGTAAACTATTAAGTGGTATCTGGTATAGGAGAATATAATTAGAATTCTATACTCAGAAAAATTTTCCTTGAAATAAAGACACTTTCAGACAAACAAAAACTGACAGAATTCACTGCCAGCAGGAAAGCACTAAAAGAAATCCTAAAAGGAAGTTCTTCAAACAGAAGAAAAATGATCCCAGACAGAAATAAGGAATGCAGGAAGGAATGAAGTACACTGAAAAAAGTAATTTGTGAATATATATAAATGAATATTGACTCTACAAAACAATATTAACAATATCTTGTGAGAATCTAAAAATTACGCAGAATAAAAATCCATGACAAAAACATGCAAAAGAAAAGTATTCAATTGAATGCTAATTAAGATAGAAAATAGCAACATTTATGAAATGCAGCTAAAGTAATGCTTACAGAGAAACTGATAGTATTAAATGTATATATTAGAAAAAAGGCTGAAAAGCAATGATCTTAGCCATCTTGAGAAGCTAGAGAAAAAACAGCTAATCAAGTCAAAGAAGTATAAAGAAGGGAAAAAAAATCAGAATTAATGGAATAGAAACAAACATACGATAAAAAGAAAATCAGTAAAGGCTAATAAATTTAATAGACATCTAGCAAGACCAAGGAACCCTGGTGGCACAATGGTTAAGCGCTTGGCTGCTAACCAAAAGGTTGGCACTTCGAACCTACCCAGCTGCTCCATGGGAGAAAAGACCTGGCAATCTGCTCCCATAAAGATTACAGCCTAGGAAATCCTATGGGGCAGTTCTGTTACATCATATAGTATTGTTATGAGTCAGAATTGACTCAACAGCACACAAAAACAAGAACTACCAAGACTGACCACGAGAAAATGAAAAAAAAAAACACCACCACCACACAGATTAACAATAACAGGATTGGGAAAAAGTATAATACTATAGATTCTACATATATTAGAAAGTATTAAGATGACATTATAAACTTTATTACTCCAATAAACATGACAATTTAGATGAAATAAAGTCTTTATAAACACAACTTGCCCAAACTGACACAAGAAAAAAATTAAAAACCTGAATAGTCCTTTACCTATTAAACAGAGATAAGCCTTTTTTTTTTTTTAAGCAGAACCTTGATACTAAAATATAACAAAGATATGACACAAAAAGAAAATTACAGGCTACTTTTTCATGAACATAGACTCCAAAAATCCGAATAAACATAAGCACAAATACAACACAAATAAAATTTATTAATATTTTTAAAATAAAATCATCATGATCAAGTAGAGTTTATTTCAAGAAACTAGGGTTGATTTAATATTTGAAAATCAAAAGAGAAGAATCATATCTTCATCCTGATAGATGCAGAAATAAGGTTTTGATAAAACGCAATACTCATTTGTGTTGAAAAAAAGAAAACTCTTAGCATACTGGGAATGGAAAGGAACTTCCTTAATCTGGTATTTTAAAACTATAAATATGTATAGCAAACATTATTCTTATTGATGAAATATTGAAAGTTTATGCTTTTCATCTGAGATCATGAATAAAAGAAGAATGTCCACTATCACCACTGTACCCAGAGAAATAAGGCCAGAAAAAGTAACAGAATATATAAAGACTTGAAAAGAACACACTAAATTATCATTATCCTGAGATAATATGACTGTGTATATAAAAAAATCCAAAAGAATCTATAAAATATTAGAATGAACAAATGAATGTAGCAAAGGTGCTGAATACAAAGGTTACTTCTATAAGCCTGCAACAAATACATTTAAAAAAATGAAATAAAAAGTCATTTACATTAACATCACAAAGACCTAGAAATAAATCTAAGGAAAGATATGCAAGACTCTACACTGTAAACTACAATATATTGCTGAGAGAAATTAATATAGACAAAAAAGAAAAAAGGAAACGATATATAGTCATTGATGGATTGGAAGATTCAATGTCATGAATATGTCAACTCTTCCCAGAATTATTTACAGACTCAATACAACATCAGTCAAAACCCCAGCAGACTTTTTTGTAGGATTTGACAAGCTAATTCTAAAATTTGTATGGAAATGCAAAGGGACAGAGATAGTCAAGACGACTGAAGAAGAACAAATCTAAATGTTTTTGTATTACTACATGCTTATTATAAAGATATATTAATTATGACAGTGTAATATTGGCAAAGAAGAAAAAGAGACCACCGGAACAAAATAGAGGGCTCAGAAACAGATGCACACATATTCAATCCCTTGATTAATGCTAAGGTAACACTGCACTACAGTAGAGGAAAAGATGGTTGTTTCAACAAATTACTTGGGGTGAACTGAATAATTACATGGAAAAAGTGTATCTGGACCCCAATCTTATAGCGTACACACAAAATCAATTACAGGCAGATCTAGCTGTGAAAGACAAAACCATAAACTTTAAAAGAAAATAGGAAAATATCTTCCTAATCTTCCGGCAGGCAAATATTTCTTAAACAAAACCCAAAAAGCGCTTAACAATAAAATGACAGATTCATAAATTAAATTTCATTAGATTTATGAACTTTTGTTCATGAAAAGATATCATTAGGAGAGTGAAAAAGGAAGACTCAGAGTAGGGGAAGATACTTTCAGTTCAAATGTCCATCAAAGGACTGGTATACAGAATATGTAAAATAAAATTTTCTATAAATCAACAGAAAAAAGCAGAGACTCCAATAGAGAAATGGGCAAGATACTTGAGTAGATACTAACTAACCAAAAATCATATGTTTAGCATGATTAGTCATCAGAGAAATGCAATTAAAACCACAGCACAACGCCACTACACACTCATCAGAATGACCAAAATGAAAAAGACAGACAATACTAAGTGTATACTTTTATACTATGAAAAATGTTTTCTTTAAAAAAAAGATAGGAGGGCATATATATTACTTCTAAAATATAATCATCAGATTGAATCGAATAGTTTTACCTGTGTAGATGTGTATAAAATATTTGTATGTTATGAGGTCTCTCACTATACTTATTTCCCCAAAGGAGACTCTAATTTGGACCTAAAGAATTTCTTCTTATAATCATAGAGTAGTAGAGCTACAGGGGACTATAAAGATTTGCTAGGTCAAAAATCTCATTTTATCAACGAAAAACCAAAGATCAGAGAGAAGTGATTTGCCCAGAAAAGTGTCATGTTATATCAGCTCATGTTGGTGTTGGTCCTCATCCAGCATTTCTTAAAAATGTTTTTAAAAGATACATTGTTCACAGCCTGTTATATACTAATGTACATGTAATAAGCTGAATACTGATAAAAGAAATCAAACTTGCAGGCGAGAGTAATAGAAGGCTATCAACTGCTCAGCACCCACACTCTCTTTTGAAGATTTCTGGCTCAATTCTCATAGGCTCAGCGTCTCCTTTGGAACTCTGGTTAGAAGCAGAACGAAGGCAACCTCTCCTGGCTCTGACAGGTCTTAAGGGTTGGCTAGGAGCAACAATCCCTGATCCAGGACGATTTGAGCTGTCTTAGAAGCAAACTATTAGATTGTCTCCTCCAATAACACAAATGGTAACAATAATAATAATGACAATGATAGCTACAATTTCAATAGTGTTTACTATAA